CATATTACAAGTAACAAAACTTTTATAACTTTCGATAAAATGCGTGGATATTTTATTGTCATTTTCATTTGTTAGAACTTTTTTAAGCCATGTTTTTATGTGTTTTCGATATTTCAATAATTTTTTAATATAATCTTAAAATATGTCGAATATTATAAACTTAAAAAAAGTTACTAAGTTTTATATTGTGTACCGTTCCTAATATTTCTAATCATTTTAATTCATACTTTAAGCTTTATAAAGTTATAATTTGTTAATATTAATATTTGCGCGTATTTCAGGTTCCTGATCATTCATTTTTTAAAGGTTTATAACTTTAAATTAAATTGTGAAGCGCTGAGTAATCATACGACGTTCAATATTCTTTCTTTCAATATGACTAAATAATCCCAATTATAGCAATCTGATACTCATGTCTCAATGTTTTTTCGCTGAATGTGATGAAAACATTTGAAAAAGGTTCGCTTATTGAAATAAATCTACACCAGTTAGTACTTCGATTTCCAGGTAAAGGGAAAAGGCTCATTATCTGCCATATTGGCAGTGAGGATGGATTTGTTGTTGACGGTCTGTGGTGCTTTGAGTCTAAGAAAACTGGAGATTACCGCGAGGAAATGAATGGCGAATCGTTTGAACAGTGGTTTTCAAAAATTTTACCGAACTTAGAGGAAAACGCAGTAATTGTGTTAGATAATGCGCCTTATCATTCTCGAAGAATGAAGAAGGTCCCAACAACGGCTTCAAGGAAAGTTGATGTTCAAACTTGGCTCCGCTCAAAAAATATCAACTTTGAAGAAGCAATGTTGAAAGTACAATTATTAAGAATTGTCAAGGATCACAAGGCGGAATATCAAAAATACGCCATTGACGAAATGGCAGCAAGTCAAAATAAAACTGTGCTCCGTTTACCTCCATACCATTGCGAGCTCAATCCCATTGAGCTCATATGGGCAGAGGTTAAAAATTATATAGCTAAGCACAATACAACTTTTAAATTTTGTGACCTCAGAGGACTTTTCAAAGAAGCACTAGAATTAATAACAGCGCAAAAATGGGAAAACTGTATTAAGCACGTGAAAGACAAAGTTGAAAAGAGAATGTGGGAACTGGACAATATTTTAGAGGAACAAGTCGAGCCATTCATTATTGACGTTGGTGCTTCAGGCAGTAGCGATGATGAAAGCTCATCAAGCTCATCTTTCCAATAAAAGATGTCGTTCATCAAATTCGGTAAGTTATAAGTAATTATAAAGCTACTGTATTTTTTAATTAATTATTGACATTTTTGAACCCATTTTGGCAAAACCTGTTCAAGAGTCTACTTTCTGACAATGTTCAACCATGCACTTTTTTTTACGTTTTGAACGTTTTAATTTGGTTACATATTTACCTAGAAATCAAAAAATATACTAATCAATATTCTAAAAGCAATTTTAAGAGATATACGATTATTTTTAATTTAGGCTAATTTAAACGCCATTTTGAGATTATATTCGACTGTATTTCACCAAACATCAGGCGGCATCCGAAGCTGGAAATCGATGCGAAAATTTTGAAACCCTTATGTATATTTACATCATTATATATTTCTTACCCCACCCCCACATGATCCTATATCCATCACCAATCGTATACACATCGAATTGTGCTAATTTACTACAAAGTTACGCAAAGCAGCATCTACTATCTAAAATATGTACTGCGTGACTCTTAATACGTCCCTGCCAAATGTTACAGCGTTCGATGATCACGTGGTCTTGTTTATGTCCGGTCTATCTCTTATCTGAATATACTGTAATACTGAATTATGAATAAAGTACGTTACGTTTCGAATAACTGTTAACGTCTGATTTTAATGCTTGTTAGATGAAATAAAAATTTTGCAGTAACTCATCTTTTATGTTTATTTAACATTTTATCTACATGTTTCACATAAATATGCATTTTCCCAATTGTTTTGAGCATCTACATCTTATCTATTCCTGTTTCCATTGTTATACTAATAGCATTTGAAATTATGGGATACCTTTTGCATCACAACTTAGGACATATTTCGTGTATACTGATAGTTATTCATTTTTGGTTTCAGTTGCAAATTACTCGTCTGCAACCCGTCCAATACCCAGCTTCGCCGGCTTCAGAGCCCACAACACTAGTATTGCCGTTGATCTACGACATTGGATCTAATGCGACTCTGCTGGTGGAGAAGCGTGAATCTGTGGTCAGCCCCGCCATGGCAGCTGCTCAGCAACTACTCAAACATTTTGGGCAATATCAGGTAAGAACAGAACTCAACTAAGCATTAATCAATCGAACCAACTGTGTACAGTATCATGCTCATTGGCAATCAGTATGGTTTAGGTCAATAGTTAGGACAATGATCAAAGCAGCAATATATATCGAAATACGGCAGCAGAAGTGCCATCTACTACTAGAATTAAACCAGATTAAATTTTAGTTAGCGACATAAACTCTTTCTAGCATTACAACTATATGTTTTCTGCAAAGCTTGCACAAGATATGTAGCTTTGACCTAACTTTTAGACACAAAAAATACTGTAATTTAATTCTGCTCTGCTAATTTTTAACTTAACCTTTTAAACAGTATATTGTCCTATATCAACGAATTTCCCCGGACTAAAGGTACAGAATTTTTTTGAAATAATTGAGGTAAATACCAAAAAAAACTCATAAAATTGCAGTTCTTGACATGATACTTCTCTAGGGTCATTTATGCTGAATAGCAGTACCCATGGGATAGCTTTGTCAGTTTGACAGTAGCTACTGATATTCAGCATAAAGCACTGTACCGCTTACATTGGCTGAACGGTCCCATTGATATGAATGAAATCATCCCATCGCTGTGTTGCTGGGAATTCAAAACTAAGGAGCGCGGGAATAGGGTGCTTGAGTTTAGCAGCGCTTCTGAAAGCAAGTTACGGAGAATAGAGGAGGGGGTGCTTTCATGATACATTGAATATTGATTGTTCGGTTTATTAGAACAATTCATGGACCTAAGCATCTAGAGGGGGTTTCACTATATTGAGATAGACTCCTACACCAAGTCTAACCATGGATCAACAATATATTATTGTAAAATGCAATTTTGCTTCTTTATAGGCTGGTTCTGCGGAGTGCAGCATATGGCCGGCAGTGAGGGAGCTGTTGGTGAATTTGACTCTACCTTCTGAGCCTCCGCAATCGAGCCCTGTTGGAGGAGCCCCACCCCAACCTCAGCAGCAACCTGGACCTCCTGGACCACCACAAGGGGCACCCCAACAACCTCAACAAGTAAGTCTTTCTTTAGATTGTTTTATTGATGTTAACAAAATAATAAGTTGCGTCAATCCTTGATTCCTCCAGTCCTTGACTCAAGTATTATTAGACATACGTGAAAAACACTTCATGGAACCTATTAACAGGCTTCCGCGACCGACTTTGACAGAACTGAGCCACATTTGATATGATCGTCCCACACTTGTAAAAAGCAGTCACTCGTATAACATGTAAGTTGTGAGAATTGTGAGTTTGAAACTCAAATTGTATATAGGCCCATCACTGTAAAAATAAAATAATTGGTTTGGTTTGGTTGAAACTTGCATAGGTTTGATCAAAGGTGAACTTTGGAGGAATACTATTTCAACCTGCAGAAGGACTTAGTGTTAAAACATGATTTTTATATTTTCAGATCCAGTCCCCAGCAATGCAAATGTCGGGTCAGGGTCAACCTGGATATTCAGTAAACATGCCAATGGGCATGATGGGGCCACAATAAAGACGTATCACATTGTTTTGTAAATATTTATTTTTTATGTTGTTTGTTTACTATGTAAGCCAAGCTGTGAATAAATCTTTTACAATACTTATGCTATTTTTCGTTTAAATATTGTTTCAAAAATAAGTACACAAATTTTTCGGAGGGAAGGGAGAACGAATACTTCAGGCCTGGATATAATACCAATTATTTACACTTTGATGCGATTGTTTAAAAATGGCGTCAAGTTTGTTTTAACTCTGCATTACCCACGCAATGGAGTCATCAGTTCATAAAAGATTATGTTCGGCACCCAAGTTAGCCTTATACATGTATAACACGGAAATTAAATGGATCAAGTCAGTCAAGCAGGCCCATAAAGTTAATCCATATACATATTTTTCAGTCACGCTACCAGTGTTACCAGGTCTACTGATTTTAGCTACTCTAACAAATGCGAAATTTCCCGAAAAATCTTTAAACTCTTGAATAGTATATTCCTGATGTAATTCACGAAACGCGATTGGTACAACCCTGCGTTCTTCAAGTTTTTAAATAACATTTAATTTTGTATTACATATAGGGATTTGATGCAATCCTGCACACTTCAATTTTTTTACTAGCAGCAAATGAATGTTAACCAAATGGAGCTCAACCACGGTGCCATCCTCTTCAATTTTTAATCATCGGCAAGTTTTGTTTTATGCCTACCGAAAAAATTCACACAAATCTACCAAAAATAGGTTCACCCATCAACACTCCATGGTACGATATTCTTCGGTGCGCAACGAGTAATAATAAAATTTTTCACGAAAGAAGCCGTTAAACCGCGCAAGGTTTTGGCTCGATTGAAGGCTCAGTATACTGGGTATGATACCCTGTCTAAAACTCAGGTATTTGATTGGTCCAAAAAGTTAAACAGTGGAAGAGAACGTGTAGAAAATATGAATCATAATCAACATCCAAGATCAATTGGCTCTAGTGAGAACATTGGTGCTGTTTGCGACCTTATTGAAGGTGACAGGCGGCCCACTATTCATGAAGTTGCTTTAGAAGTGTGCATTAGCTTTGGAAGTGCTCGTAGGTGGTAGATGGTCTCTGACTGTCGAACGCGGAGGTACCACCCGGCGGTTCTCGTAGGCGGAGCCAGAATGTGTGCATGTTGCATGCACACGTGTTCCCTCGCCAGAGTCCGTGTGGGATCCCCCCCCCCCTTTCCCATGTATCCCCCTATACCACACGGTACCCAATGGGTGCTTAGGCCTTAGGCCTTCGTGGTAGTTGGAGTATAAAAAAAAACAATCATCAAAAAGCATCTTGGCTTCAACAAAATCTGGGCTCGATGGGTAAAGAAGATGTTGAACGAAGATTAAAAAAACATCCGACTTCAAATCAGTGGGAGACATCTGAATCGATTTCGGCGGGTGGGAGAGACTTTTTTAATCATATCGTGACGTGTAATGAAACATGGGTGTATCAGTACTCTCCCGAGCCCAAGATGACGAAGGGAAGACGAAACCGGTCCCGTGAAAGCCAAAACCCGTCTCTCAGCCGGCAAGATAATCGCAAATGTCTTTTTTGACTGCAAGGAGTGTTGTTCATTGATTTTCTACACGACCGACTTGCGGCTAATGGTGCCTACTACTGCCAGCTGTTGGAGACAGCGAAAGCCGCATACAGATGCGGTGTCCCCATCAGAAATGTCATCCTTTATGACAATGCCTGGCCATATACAGTCACTGAAATAAAGTAAAAACTGGAGGATATGCATTAGAAAACCCTTGAGCATCCTCCATACAGCCCAGATTTATCATCCTGTGACTACCATTTGTATGCGCCTATGAAAGATGCAGTTGAAAGATTGAGATTTGACAACGATCGAGATGTGGAGAACTTCGTGCGCAATTGGTTGGTCACTCAACCGCAACGTTTTTAAAAGCAAGGAATTTGCAAGCTTCCAAATCCTTGGGAAAAATATGTAGAGCATGGGGCAGATTACACAGAAAAATAATCAACAGCTTTTTTGTATTGTTTTATGAATAAATATTAGAAAGGAATTACTGTTTATTTTTGATCCACCCTCGTATTTTTATTAGCAAGAGATCAATTAATAAAGTTTAGGTGCACTAAGTGACAGCACATGCCTTTATTGAGAAGATTGGCTTCAGCCACTGCCAATTTCTAAGTTAACTATGCGTAAATAAAAACGATAAATTGTAAGTAACTGCACAGTTTATTAAAAACATTCCATTTTAAGTACAAAAATTATGGATACGTTACATTTTAAAAATATGAAGAAATATAAAAAATATGAGATACAAAAAACATACATAAAATATGTAAATAATATAACCAAAGTATATATATTTTAAAAATAAATTCATTATATATAATAATATTCTGGCAAAAGTTCCACATAAGTTTTACTTTACTATTAATTTGGAGATCTTCCCTAATATAATATATTTCTTGATGCAAAATAAATATGTATAAAATTACAAAATGATTTCATTCTTGATGCTTCTTGAGAGTTCCTTGTTAGGCAGTACAACAGAGTTTAAAAGAACCGTTTCTGCTGAAACACTCACCGAACACCCTGGAAATAAAAACATGCAATCAAAGTTGCTAACGTATCGGGTAAAATTGTTTGATTCCTGTTAAAATCTTTGAAAATGTTCTAGAAGCATCATACTGACCTAGGATTGTGATTGAAGGGTTGAGTTTTCCTTCAGTGCTAAACAGTGGCAGATTGTCCATTTTCGCGAATGGTTTATTTGGGTCTGGATCTGTAGCAGTACCTTCCACTCTGGCCCATTTTCCTATCCGAGAATTTTTTCCTGAAAGAAAAAATAGATCGACTCACGATAAAAAATGATCAACAGATATACCTTCATTTGGAATGAAAGCAGGAAATGTAACAAAATGCAGGAAAAACATCTAAGCAACTGACAGCTTTGCATACTAACCTATGATGCTATGCAGTACAAGACTTCTTTCTTCAATGATAGCATTGGCCAGTACAATACTTTCTTTGATCCTAACGCCTGCTCCTACCACTACTCCTGGACCGATACTCACATTGGGCCCCAACTAAAAAACGAAAATGTAAGTCTCTGATTCATCTTATATGTCATATAAAGAATAAAAATGACAACACTGTGCCGAATCGACAGGCAATGTTGCCATTTACACCTCCTATAGCTTGAAGAGGTTTAAGACTTGCATTTTAAATCTCTAGGGTTCTAGGCTCTCCATGGTTCATACTCGCAGGAATTCGACGAAATTATATTCGTATTTTTCCAAGCGATTAATTATAAAATAGTCCGTAACGCGGCGCGGTCAGACGCGACTGACGCACAGTTGCCACATTTTTCATTTGGGGTCAAACCTCCTCAAGCTTTACAGGTCAGATTATGGCATTGGAAGTTTCTGTGAACTTACAACAGCTGTATGATGCACTGAAGCTGTTGAATTAATGTGAACGTCAGGAATGATAGTACATCCATCTCCACCACCACCAGATGGCTTTGCTAGTCTTTCAGGATGTTTCCTACGATACAACTGGAGATAGTGTCTATTCGCATATATTGCCGCTCCTAAAATGTAAAAAAGGCCGTAATTTGTATGCGAACGTATCCTAAATATTGTCTACTAAGGAACTTCAGATGAAAAAATTTTAATGCCATAATGGTGAAGCTCACCAGTTGATATTTACCTGCTGTTTTTAGTTGTGACCACCAGGATGTAACAGGCATGGCAAACACCCTTCCACTACCTGATAAGGGCTGCAAAATTTCTTGTTCTAACTGTATATACCCTACATCACGATCATTTCCAGGTGGGGAGTTACCATTTACAGTTGGCCCATTTCCATTCATATTACTGAAAATAAGTTTATCAATGTGTTTTATGAAAAAATAATTATTTTAGAAAAGTTCTCTGCTTGCCTAGTATGTAGTAGCATTGAGTAACTCATTCTACCTGATGATAATCAACCGCGCCTGAAAAATTATCCGAGATGAAATGAGATACTGTAGTGTCATCTATGATAATTTGTCACAGCTATGTTTCTGTTTCTCGTGTCAGCAATAATTGTAAATCTACTTTGGAAAGGTTAGTGTCTCTTAGATGACACTGTAGCATATGCTCATATATAGTTGGCTACAGCGCCATCTATGAGATACTAACCTTTTGAATAGATTTATAATTACTGCGGTAAGGAGATAGATAGATAGCTGTGACAAATTCTCATAGGTGACGCTACAGTATCTCAAATCATCAAACATAATTTTTGAGATGCGCAAATATAGTATTAGGTTTTTTATCTTCAGGTAGAATACGTTAATCAATACAAGTAAGTAGTTTCAAAACAACCGCATAGTCGAGAACAAAGTGGTTGATCAAACATGAGCAACAAACAAGTAATTTTACTAAAGCATTTGCAAATAAAAAAAGTGACGACAAATAAGTTGACTCTGTACTTCCCAAGCTATGATGTCATTAGTTCTTAAAGGATTACGTTTAACAAAAGTTAGCTCTTCTGAGAATAAAGTTAGGTACGAACATGTATAACAAAGAATTAAATGGCCTTCCTCCTCCCCCTGAGAGGAATTGCTGCAGGCGCACATGATAATTTTGATGACCAATCCCACGTGAATGATGATAATGGCCTTCACCATGCACAGTGCACACAGCCCACAGCAGCGCGGAAGCGATTGCGACGACCATCGACAACGACAATTGTCCATCAGAGGAACAAGTTGCCCGTATCGACATACAACTGTAGGAGATTTTTAAGGGTAAATGTATGGGGACATCTATGATGAGTGAAATTATGCCTAATATGAGGGTAGAATTACTGTTTTGTGTTAGCATAAATAAATGAAAGTCCAACGTCAAAAAGTTGAGATATACCCATAGTAGCAACATTGTGTAAAAGTTCATTGAAATCCAAATGTTACTTCTTAAGTTATAAACAGTTATAAGACTGGCAGACAGACTGACAGAAATGAGTAACATGATTTTTCGAGATGTACATATCATATAACATCCGATCATTTTCAAAAAATTTCATGATTATAATGCTTCCTGCCATTAGGCATGGGAGGAGGTTAATGCTTCTGTTTACTAAGTATTTCAGCTCAAAGAGATAAAAAAGAATAAAATGTAAATATATCTACCTATATATCTTTTGTTGTTTTCTGTTAAACATTTCTTCAAGTGTTTGGAATATTTCAAGTGAAAATACATAAATTCCACAATTTATCAGAGACGAAACATATGAACTTGGCTTTTCCACATAATGAGTTACTTCCATAGTCTCTTTATTGACGACTATGCAGCCATAGTTCAAACTTTGTTGTCTTGTAGCCTCTGTAGCAATTATAGTGACCTAAAATAGAAAAAAGTTATTAGAAGCATATGTGGCCATTAAAAAACTATGAGGTACCTAATAGGGCCGAATTTGAGGACAAAAAATATGGCTTATATAGACTACAATTTCCATATCTGTCTTGTTGTTACAAGCTAATGGGTCTTGGTGCCCTCAAGTAATTTAAGGCTTTCAATACTAATATAATGGTCAAAAAAATAGAATATAGAAATAATTCTATTTTCATCTCCCATTCATAAAGTGTCATGAGGCATATTATTTTGAAGTACAAAATGTTTATTTAGCATCAAATTGATTTTACTGTAAAAAGTACAAGATGATATCACAAGAGCCACCTATTTTCTTGATGACAGGTTTTGCCATTAATGTAGAAAAAGGATCTTTTCAGCATTGTGTTTGACTCTGCTTGCTTACCCGGGCAGTGTTGTTACATTTGGTAGGTTGTTCTTTGTGAAACTGATACAATTCAGCCAATGGAAAATCAGCACAGACATCTCCATTAAGCACAAAAAATGCATCAGGATTTCCACACCTTATTTGATCTCTGAAGTGAAATAGCCCACCAGCTGTGCCCAGAGCTGTAAACTCTTGTAGATATCTGAAATATGCGAGAATGGATGATTTCAAAGTTGACCAAGAATCTTCCTTGATGTATATGAAGGATCAAAGCTCACAATAATAGGATAAATTGTAGAACAATGTCTATTACTACCTTATAATGATCTTGTACTGGCTTTGCATCTCATTCACAAAGGGTTGTATCTGCGCCATGGGATAAAATCCAATGAGAAGGATCTCTTTCAAATCCTTCATTTGAACACATGCTTCAATGTGGTGTTGTATCAGAGGCAAACCAGCTACTGGGAATAGGGGCTTTGGAGTATCTAAGGATAATGGTCTGAACCTAGTCCCTGAAAAAAAGATTCACAAAAACTTGATATCATATAATATATTTTGATATAGAAAAATCATATAACATGTTATAAATTTACTTTTATATTACAGATGGTGGTTATAGCTATCTATCAGTAAAACTAAAGAAAAAAGTATCTTTTAACATCTGTTTCAACCAAATAATATGTTATGTCCTTCATATCACTAAATTTTTCATCACAAAATCAACTTTGTACTTAGAAATGAGACTGATAGATGACAGTGACATTTCTGTGCTTTTTCTCTTGAGAACGACAAAGGGAGCCAATCTTCTATCAATGTGAAAGAATACAGTTCACTGATAATAGAATACCCACCTTCAGTTACAAGAACTGCCCCCCTAGGGGAATTCTAAGCTTTAATGAGTATTATTGTTCTTTGTTGGATTGCATCATCCCCTTACATTCTCAAGCTCTTTTGGAATAGCATGGAATCATAAGGAAGAATAGGAAATTTGCTGAGGATATACAGGGAGCCCAAAATGGAAAGTGCTGATTTTGGTTGAAAACTCTTCCCCAAATAAATAAAATTCAAGCACATAATCATATTCATATTTTTTGATATTCCACAGTGTTTTATCAAATAGTGTTGTCGTTACTTACCTTTTTGGGGCCCTCCAATCAATATAATTGCCTTCAACATAGTTTTGGCGACTATTTTCTGAACTTTGTAAGAGGAATTTCTGAATCTTTTAACACTCTAACTCAGCAGAAGATAAGGAACTGATATGTTTGCTTATCTCTAACAATAGCCTACGTTAATTATTATTAATATCCGTAATGTAATAAAATTCTTACGTGGAAATTGTATAAAGTTCTTTAAACGTGTAAACAAACACGTAGCTCTACAACAGCCACCTGACAGCTGTCACGAACACCCTACAGTCTAGAGATGGGCGGAGTTGAATCGATTCTTTGACCCGAATCATCACATTGATTCATCCATGACGCATGGAGCCGATATACCAAGAGAAACTACGGCAATTGACAAGTTTACTACCATTTTGTTGTTATAACTTAAATGAAATTAAAAAAAAATTAAACAGGATCTGTAAAAACATCAAAGTTGCGCCCCGCCAGAATATTTTTATTCCGTCTGAACGCGCCGCGTGACCTCACACTTCACTATCCAGTTGCGACGGCCGCGACCAACTCCTGAGCCCGGGCTCATATGAAAATATCAGGAAGAAATGGTGCAAACTTATGAAGCGTGATTTCATTGGACCAAAAAGTACAACATACATATATGTCTGTAAATCCCTCTCCAGACTCATGCACGAATCGCGCGCGAAGCCGCGAACTACCCGCGACCCATGAGTGTGGATCCTCTTCGCGGCTTCACGTCGCATTCTCGCGTTGTTCCCGTTTGTTGTCGGTTTCTTATCCCACGACAAACGGTTCGCAAGGCGCGAACCAGACTAGGCTCCTCATTCGCTGGTGGCTCAGTTGCCTCATAGCTAGTGCCGGGAGTGGTTGTGTTTTTTCCACTTATTTTCAATTGCTCTAGTATTACCTTTACAGGGTGACTTTGAAGTTGAGTCATTAATTTTCAGATAATGATTGTAGAAGGAAGATAAACCAAAATATGTGTGTAAAAATAAAAAAAAAATTACCTTGTTTTATAAAGTATCCTCCCGACAAGTATTTCAGCGCGGACCTGTATTTGTTCGTGAGGTCTTGGAGCACCGGCATGCCGTCCATATGTGAGGTCTTAAGTCACCTGATTCACGAACTCGTTGTACTACATTAACAAAGGCACGAGGGGTTGGTTGCACTCGATTGGGAAACCGATCCGCATAAACATGTGCCATTTTTATTTCGTTTGAGCCACGCAACAGACACCACTATTCACTACCGACTGACACTGACTGTATACAACTGAATGAAATAATTGTAAAAACATCGCTCCAAATTCTTTCGCCTTTTTGTTTCCGATGCGATGAACCGATAAGGCGGATTATATCTGTTGTCGCCAAACACGAGCACATAATATTATTATTGAGACAGGGCGGTACTCAAACTTCCAAAGGGCTATAACTTTGTTACTTCAATTTTACCAGAAAAATGGCAAAGGAAAAAAACATTTCTTTTGATCAGACCTACTCACTGTTAAAATAAATGACTCAACTTCGAAGTCACCCTGTATATGCGTAATTATAAATTGCCAAAGTGCAAAGTAGCCCTGCAGCAGCAGCAATTTCACCATGCATACTCGTCAAGAACGCGAACTATACTGTGAAGTAGGCGCGAACATCTGCGAATGTGGAACTGTAGCAACAAACTTCGGGATTCGCACCGCGATCCGCGCGTGAGTCTGGAGAGGGTATAAAGACCACTTTGATGTGAGCAGTAGTAGACATAAATACTTACTTCCAAAGTACGTGTCAATGTTGGGTAAATCGTCACTTAACCCTTTTACATATCCGGTTTCCATAATAGAACGAACTTACACAGTACATACTCAATAGTTATCAACTGGAAACCACGTGTCTGAGGGCACAGGTGCGTCTTATGAATTGTCTATGTATAGACTAATGGATAAACGCACAAACGCTGTCGAGCATGGACGGGACGCTCGGCACTAGTGTGACGTTAGACGCGAACTGACGGCAGTCGCGTTATAATGCGCCAAATTTAAGTATTAATTTCTCTGTCAGTTATTGACCGATTTCAACAATTTTTTCACTGATTGATTATAATTCATCTATATTTTGCGGGTATGTCATTACTTATGCGATTCTGAATATCACGAAACTTCTACATTCTGTTCGTGTAGTAAAAACGACCCCGAAACTTGACGCCTAGAGTACCAGTGGTGGTTTAATAGGTTTGCCATGTAGGGGGATTTTTTTGGGGATTAAATGTTCTGGAGGAAATCACAGGTTTAGCGGATAGAAAGCATCCTTCGCTCTTTGAACTAATCCCAGCACTATCCATTAATTAACTGTGATTTGGGGGCTTTTTGGTAGCACTTGATTTTTTTGAACGATATAGTAAAATAGGCTAAGACGACAGCTTAGATAAGAATCAGCAATGAAACTATCCTGACACTGTCAAAAACGGTCGCCATTTCGGCGGAGAAAGTCGAATGTAGTTTCCCCCAGTACAACGATGAAAAAGGTTTTAGTGCCCAGAAGCAACCGGTGTTGCCAGGAACCCTGCCAGCGTCCGCAAATATAATTTGCAATCGTAAAAATTATAGTATTCCGATATGATCTGGTGTAATTTATATGAACCTATAATAAAAAGGAGTAAGTTTGTCCAAAAAGAAGCGACGAAGTGTTGATGACTATTGGTTTATGAAAAAGTTTTAAAATATAGTCAACGCCAAACAAAGTGGCGTGCACGTCATCAAGGTGGGTGTGTTGAAAAATTTACATTGTTGCCAAACTTTTTGTAAAATAATAAAATTTATTATTTACATATCTAGGTTTATAAGCAATATTAACCTCAAATGAGAACAAAAATAATAGTATAATAAAATTATAGATCTGTACTTGCATAATCATTAAGTATGACAATTATTGATCAGATGACACTATGAAACTACCATATTTAATTGATAGCTTAAAGGTACTGAATAAAAATCCAAATGGGGTCCTCCAAATTTTATGCATGGTATTTATTTTACAGAATTCTTACAGAAAAATGCATTCTAAAATTAGGTAAGCTACTGGTGTAAGCTTTTTCTGTACAATAAAGTTAGTCGGAGTTTCTTTCTTCAGCGCTGTCTGAATCTGAATCTTCATCACTCTCAAAGTTGATTATTAAAGGTTCGATTCGATGTCTGGTCGATCAAAAATTCGTTCTCTTTCATACCATTTAAAAATTTCTTGCTCAGTATGTCGAACACTATTTTTCCACATGTCTGGGGTAACCGTTTGTAGAGCCTCGTTCCACATATCCAAACAGTCTTTTTCACTGTTACCATCTCTACCAATATGTCTGTTATAGTAACCTTTTGCTATGCCCCAAATTAACTCAATAGGGTTAAATATACAATGGTAAGGAGGCAGACGAAGAACTTTGTGCCCATGTTGTTCCGCCAATTCATCAATCACGTATATCTTAGGTGGTTTGTTTCTAAAAAAGCAGTTATTTTAAGAATAGGAATAAACAAAAGAAATATAAACTGTCGACCAAAATATATATAATTAAGAAGCATTATGTACCGAGCAACAATACTCAATAGCTCTGTTTTAAACATTGTGTTTAAAAATGGTATGTTTTGATTTGTCAACCAGTCTTGGATATTTTTTTTTGTCCATGCATTGTTGGGCACTTTGTTCAATATCATGCTGTGATAAGGGGCGTTATCCAGTATAATCATAGATGGACTCTCCAATTTTTCTAATAACTGATGTTGAAACCATTTCAAAAAATTGTCCTGGTTCATCTCTCCATGGTAATCGCTCAATTTTGTTTTCGAAGAAAATATCGCTTCACTACCCTCAATAAACCCATTTTCATTTCCAGCATGTAATATAATGTATCTAAAATATATTAGTTTTAAATTTTATAGTGCAAATTGTGTAAAAGTACATACCTTTTACCATCTGTTTTAATAGCTTTCACGCTTTTTTGGTTTCCATTTTGCCAAGAGCGACCTATGGTCCCATTTTGAAATATCCAAGTTTCATCGAGGAAGACAAACTGGTATAAGGCCTCAACCTTGGCTTGATTGTATTGCCTTAGAAATTCCACCCTTTTCAAAGCTATACTTGGTAGTTCCATGAGCCCTCGTCGCGGATTGTCCTTAAGCCACTTAAATCCAAGATCTCTAAGCAACCGCCTTAAAGACGTGGCACTACCATCAAATAATGCCCTATCTCTTAATCGAGACCATAAAGTTTGTATCGTAACTTGTTCTTCTGAAACCATGTGTAATATGACATTATAATTTAGTTAACAAATTAATGCAAATTTCTGATAAGTTATTATAATAAGATCTTACTTTTGTGATACATATTATAGATCACTTCTCGAATGGCACTTGTATCCAATGTCGCTGTGTTGGTTACACGTTTAATATAACTCCGCTTTTTCTTGGGCGATTCTAAATTTGCATCACTTTTCACACCCTCGGAAATACGACTAACTGTCCTTAAACTAATTTTTAAAGCAGCAGCAACACGCTACAAAAAATGAAATAAAATTTCACTATTATTAATATACATTACATATAATTATTAGTAACCTACCTCTTGAACAGCATTTAAAGGCAACAAAGGCCCGTTGTTGTCCCTTTCTTGCTCAAAGTAGTGCATTAACGAGGCCACGAGTTCCTTACACCGACTATTTAACTGTTTGGGCATCTTTATATACCAAAATTGCCTTTATCTACTCGTAAAATGAATAATTTTGTTTTGAAACAAACAGTTGTTGATTTACAGTATGCGGGGCCAAAGGATTTATAAAGATTTGAAATGCCACAAATTGATTCAGTGTCAAAATTAATACAAATGTCAGTTCCCAGTTTAAATAAGTTTCAAGGTGACAATTTGTCAACGCTGCGAAATCGGTTTAGTGCGTTTACATATCGATAAGTGATTGGAGCGTTTGCAAAACATTTTATTTCGCATAATGCGTCTAAATTTATCAGAAAGCAACTTATGTGATATTTTAATAACAATGTTTATATGACTATTAACCATAATAAGAGAGTAAGGCCATTTTACAATTTATATATCACATTAATATGAAACTGCAATAGAGCAATTGTTTGTGATAGAAACCTAGGCATTAGGTCGGGGAATTTTTATCGAGATGACGTGCACGCCACTTTGTTTGGCGTTGACTATAACTTCGTATTGGTGGAAGTATTTACAATAAACAAAAAAATATTTACTTTTGCCATGTATTCTTTGCTGCTGCGAAATTCTCAATCCATTCCATTTTCAATGTAAACACTGTTTGTAGGCAACTATATGCTCTCCACAAGGCGATTCATAATTACATGATAACACAAACATATTTTAAATGAATTTGTTTAGAATAAGAGAAAAATAAAAAAAATATTATGGTTTAGTTTTACTGGTAAACAATGTTTCTTAAATGCTCATGTGCTCTCGTTTTTTGCGCGACAAAGATGCCGAAATGTTTGTGATTGAGTGATGGTTGTATTTGTCTGGTGTTTTTAGCACCGCTTACATTGCAATAGATTGATTATATTGCAGCGGCGTAGTACAAAAGTGTATATTTTTCCGTTTATTCTGCATACTTCCACCATTACAAATTTATTTTGAAGCTTTTTCATAGACTGTCAACCGTCGCTTTTTTTTGGACACACAGACTCATTTTTATTATTAATTCACACAAACTACCATCATATTCAAGTATTTATCATTTTATGATTGCAAAGAATATCTGGGATCGCTGGCATGATACGGGGCAACACCGGCCGTATCGTCAGTCGTTCCTACAATTATAGGACACCTTTATGGCTTTGATGCAAATCGATATCTGTAACAGAACCTCAAAATAGAGCGCTGACATGGAACGGTAGAAAGTTATAAAAATCAATGAGGCTATAAAGGCATCCTACAATTGTACGCCTTTTTATGGCCTCCCTGATTGTCATAGTTTTCTACTCTTTCCGTGTGCGTTCTATTTTGAGGTTATGTTGCAAATCTACAGTTTGCATCAAATTGTTCGTGCTTTTGATTTATATTATCTGTTATATAGCCTGAAATTTCCTACAATTCAAGAAGAAAACATGGCTTGGAAATAGGAGAGAGCGCTGACGCTGACACAGAACAGTAGAGATCTAGAAATATCCAAGCCTTTCTAAAGGAGATGAAATACTATGAAAATCAACGAGGCGATAGGTGTCCTATAATTGTAGGGCGCATTTATTGCCTCCTTGATTGTCATACTCTTTTCTCTCATTCAAAATTTTCTAGATTACACTCGTCCCGTGTCAGCGTCAGCGCTCTCCTATTGTTAAGATATGTTTTCCTTTTAAATTGTAGGAAATTTCAGGCTGATAAAACATGATATAACTCAAAAGCAAGCACAATTTGATGCAAATAGATGTTTGTGACATAACCTCAAAATAGAGCGTTGACACGGAGAAGTATAAAACTATGACAATCAAGGAGGCCATAAACGCGCCCTACAATTGTAGGGACGTCTGACGATACGGGCCTTAGCTATGAACTGGATTGAATAATAAAAGTGTAAATATATGGAATATAGGTAGTTGTATAGAGAAGTGTTTGTACCGCCATGTGACTAGCAAAATACGTTGGCAGCACTGTCGTTCCCCCATCAACTTTCCTTGAAATTACGCATAAAATTATGTGGAATGAATTTTGTTGCGGGGAACTCACATGCGATTTTCTTCGCCGAAATGGCGGCCGTTTTTGACACTGAGTTTGACAGGAGAGTTAGTAAGCTGTGCTATAACCTCACTTTTTTCTCATTTCGCCGGTTCTTCTAGCTGCATGTATGACAGATGTTCAAGGCGTTGCAGGGGATTTTTCTTATCAGCGCGCAGATATCATGGCGCTATTTTTGAGATGCTCTATTTCTATGAAATCATCAACACCGGCTAGCTAAATAGGGCAGCCCGACCAACTTTGGATGATTGAATTTTCAGTCACTGAATATTATGGAAGCGTTGTGAATAGGGAGATCAACTTAGCGATCATGATGCCGAACCACAGTGTCACTGAATTTGTTATCCAAACATTGTATCCATACCAACGGGCATTCATCGTTCGTATGACATAAAAAATGCCCTATTTTCCGCGCTTTTAGCATTTATTTCATATGTTACAATATGGGGGTTTAAGGATTTCAAAATAAAAAACTATGGGGTGAAATCAAATCTATTTTTTCGATCTGATTTGTAAAACTTTAATTCAGTTACAGTTCACAACGCAACTTAAGTATAACAAGTGTACAACTATATTTTTACAAACTAAAAACTATTCTAATGAATCATATTTTTCAGTGTATCCTCGTAAGATCCTCGATCATTTTGACCAAATACTCTACAGTGACAGTTTGCTAAAAACAAACATTAATGGTGAGAAATTATTATTATAATTGTAAAAAAGACAAGGAAAACTGCTCGTCTATTTTTATAAAACTGTCACTATCGTCAGTTTTCAAATAGCGATTGTACCTTAACAAGTGTACAACTATATTTTTAAAAACTAAAAACTATTCTAATGAATCATATTTTTCAGTGTATCCTCGTAAGATCCTCGATCATTTTGACCAAATACTCTACAGTGACAGTTTGCTAAAAACAAACATTAATGGTTAGAAATCATTATTATAATTGCAAAAAGACAAGAAAAACTGCTCGTCAATTTTTGTAAAACAGTTACTATCGTCAGTTTTTAAATAGCGATTGTACCTTAACGGTTCATAGTGGGAGAAACTGATAATTTAAATTTAAGGGGAAGCTGTATAGATACGATTGAAGATTGGTCAAATAAACAATTTTAGGTAAACAAAAATTTGGCCAAATCACAGTTTTTGAGAGAAAATTGGATAGATAATTAAGATTTTACACAGTATCAATGTCAACTTACCCCTAAACCATCAGAAACTTCTTTCATTTTATCAGGAGACAGATCCAAGAAGCTTTCTATAAGATCTCCATCTATAAAGCCTTCCGCGTTTTCAGTCTTGATGTCAGTATGGAAGGCTCTCCAGTACGAATGCTCAATTTTTCCAACCGATTTTATTACTGTGGCCAATTTATTTTGTAGGTCCATCAAGAATTCGTAAAAGTCTTGAGGGATTTGCGTGACTAAGCCTGAAACAAAAAAAAAATGGAGTCAAGTGTGTTGACTATGCACGTCCTATGTATCGCTTTCATCCGTTCATGAATGTATGTTCGTCATAAGTTAGCCCCTCTCGATCAAGCCAGTTACACATACCAATACAATAATTAATACATGGAGATGTTCCTTGCTCTACCCACGCGCCGACCATGTGGCAAGTTGACTCACTTTGACTTTGCAGCATTCAGTCAGCTAGTTGCGGCAGCGGCAACCCGGCAGTTGGACGACAGCCATCAGAGCGACCGTAACGCAGCGCAGAGACCAGAGTCGCGTATTTCTCTTACCTTTCCAAGTTTTAAGGGTAAATGTACGAGGAAATATATGATATATGAAATATGTCTGGTAGGTGCGCAGAACTACCAGGAGTGGAAGCGAATAAATATATCATTGAGATGTAACCTCTCTCACCCCCTACACCCCAATTTTTAACCCCTACATTTTTTTTCTGAAAATGAACAGGAGCCTCTGAAACGTTAAAAATGAAGTTTGAGCGACTTCAACTTGTTTCGTCTTTTGCTTCAACCGCTACTGTACGATTTTCAAAAACTACGAAGCTTTATCGTCGTACTAGCCTCGTGCGAAAATTTCATCCAAATCCGAACGGTGTTTCAATGTTATCACCCAAAGAACATATCTCAATGTTGAAATTTTTCGCGATTACAATACTTCCTTGCCAGTAGCGAAGGAAATAAAAATGCCAAAAGTCAAAACATGACACAAAATTCAAACGGTTAGAATTTTTTTGTTGTTATTTTTGACATTTTTGCAAATTTTCATAATACCAAAAAAATGATCTATCTACCTTCGTCTAAAAATGCCCGGAAATGCCGAAATCGTAAAGTACGAAGTACGGAGGTTTTTGTATAGATATATTTATGTTCTTCTGTTCATAAAGTCAAGGATTTTGCAAAGATCGCTTCTTACCTATAGCACCTCCGACAGTACCAAATAGTACGCAACCTCTTGTGGGAGTTGAACTTTCACCAACATTCTGCATAACCAAGGATCCATGTCTGAAGACGTTCATCATATCACCAACATGGAACTGCCCCACCTGAAATTGATATTTACAAATATACTTATTTATGATTCTAGGGAGTTAAGCTGGAAGTCATGGCCGACGCTATGGTACTTGAATGCGTATTATGCCGGAGATAAACAACAAAATTTATCTAGAATCGGATATAAAAAATTAATTGACCGTACTATTAACAACCGGTAGTTGCGCCGTCACCAAGCAGCGATTAAATAAGGGCATCGGTCGTTGGTTTCGTATTGGGCTTAACATAAGTTAATTTTTACATAACATAGAATCGGTGTACTGAGAAATGGAACTTTACGCCCGAAAAATATATGACTCATGCACTCTTCCACCCAATCGTAGATGAAAGCACTTTTTAAAGCATGCACAATAATGATCAATGAGTTTTGCACCTAAAAATAAAGGAGAAAATATTTTACCTCGTGCATTTGGGATCTTTCTTCATCTGTAGCAGCGGCACTGTCTTTTTGACAAACGAAGATATTGAAGCTATTTTCAGCCCCCAAAAATACATCGTCGTCCAGAATTTCAATGGCAGTCATCCAGTTGGGATTGTAGTCTCTGGCTATCTCTTCGAAGCTGCCTTCCATTGTTTTATACTAAAAAAGGGAATAAAGGACATGAACGATTTTTATGTATTTTCTGTCTGTTATTTACGTTAATATCACACTGCAAACGCGTAGTTCATTTATGGAAATGTCCATATTTATACTTAATAAAATATTTAAAAACACATTCCCAATGAAGTTGATTTACTTTCATAAAGCAGGAGACGCGGAGACGCCACTGATTCTAAGGGCCGTATCGTCAGTCGTTCCTACTATTTATTGTAGGACGCCTTTATGGCTACTGTTCCGCGTCAGCGCTCTCCTATTGTGAGATTGTTTTCTTTTGGAATCTTTTCATATGTATAAAACATCAGATTCAAGCCTGAAATTTCTAAGAAATCAAAAAAGCAAAATATATTCTCAAAATACATCACTGACACGAAGGAGTAGAAGGCGTCCTTCAATTGTTGGAACGACTGATCTTAGGGCCTTAACTTAGCCTATGCTTAGGAAGTCTCGATAGCTCGGTGGTCAGCACGTCGAGCTAGCAACCCGGAGCTTGCGCCTCGGAAGTTAATTCCCTTCCCTGGATGGTGCAATATTAACTGCTACATCCCATCGGAACTGGTTTATTATATCAGTTACCAGTAGATCGCTCGTGGAGTAGTACAGTGTTGGCACTGCGGGGTCGGCAAAAAAGATCAAAAGTGGCCTAGTTGCCAGGCTCGCCTCCCCACCACCACTACTTAGCCTTACCTGTAACAGAGTCATGCTCCTCATCAAATCTCCAATAAGTATGAAATCCCCTTTAGTTTTCAAGAACAGACTAATTATATTATTGAAATGTGAACATTCCAACCGCAGCTCTTTCTCATTGGTCCATTCAAATAGTCGCACCGTACTGTTGATACTCGCTAACAGTTTTCCATTAAATTCGCACAGCGAATAACAGGAACCTTTGATCTCTTTTTCTGATACTTGCGTTAGTTTGTTTTCATTCCAATGGAACACGAGGATTCTACCTTGTTTAGGTTCAGATTCTTCCGGATTCACGTTCGCAGTACCTACGAAAAGTGATAAAATAATAATAATAATAATAAACCTAAACAAGCGATCTTCTTATTTAGTCGGAGACAAACGCTGTTTTTCCAGAAAAGAGATAATCCTTGGTGGGCGAATTCATTGCCCATCATTTGTCTTGGATATATTTCATTTGAGACACAACATATCATTTTGTTATAGCTAGACTTATATTGTATTGACACTTCTAGTTCAGTAAAAAACATTCGTAAACGCAAGCTCATAAGCTTCTTTTCATCTGTAGACCATATATGTGAGAGCTACTAAGCGAAAACGAACAATAAGTACCGTGGTGTCGTGAATCATAGCGCCAGCGTTGCCTCCTCTCGAATTATTACCCTAGGTTACGAGATTTTCTTTTCTGATGTTGATAAATTCTGATAATCCGAAATCTTAAAAATAATTACGAGGGAGGTTGAGGAATCAGGAGTAATTTTTCCTTGCAAGTATGGTGTCAACAAAAAATGGAGAATGTTTTTATTAGTTCTAAGGGAATTACTGCGAGCGTCGAAAAACATCATGAGATCAAGATCTTCTTGGATAATAATGGTTGAACCAAGTTCGTTCCATACGATAAATAATGACTGCTTACCAACTATGAAATAGGCGTTTGGATCATTGCCTAGTGTACAGGAAACTAAACTCATGGCATATTCTTGCTGCATCAATTGGTGAGCATGCAATACTTCGAAGGTATTTTGATCAATTATTAGAAGGTTATGGATTTCCACCTAGAACAAAAACGAACTTAATTTCATCGCTTAAAAGTTTGTAGTATAAACGAAGAAAATGAAATCAAGTAGGTTGACTCCTCACTTCCAATGCAACAATATTATACGTTCATAAGGGATTATTATTCACACAACACAAAAAGAGAATTAAACGGAACAAGTGAGCCAAACATGCCCATACAATTAGTCCATAGTCACCCAGCAAATTTGATAATGCTGCGATCTAGAAATTTCTTCCCATAAAAACATCGCGATTTCACTGCTTTCTTCACTTTCAAGTGGTAAGGCAACCTTCAACCTTTTTTGTTTGTTTTTTTACTGACTTACCTCTTGTCCATAGTCAGGAGCAGCACTACCACCCAATACGCTACCGCTTCCCGACTTTCCCACGGCCAAAGATCCAACACTACTTGACACTGTGACAGATTGGGCAGTGGTGGAAGCACTCTGTCTAGCTGGATTTAAGCCAGTGGAATCTTGGATGTCTATTCGAGACGTCACTACGCCAAAAGTCTGTTAACAATATGATTAAACTTAGTTCAATGAGATCGCTCTAAAAAAAAATATTTTTGCAATTATTAGACTTGACAGAAAGACATTCTGTATCTTCACTACAGGTAGCAATGATATCGTTTGTACTCTAAAAATAAATGTTTCTTTCGGTCGTGAAATTTTCAAATACAAATATCCAATTTTCTTTTAATAAATTTCCTTTGGTGCTGCGATGATGATCACCCGCTAGCCAAGGACCTATGTTGTGTATGTGTACTTGTGTACACTTATTTCTCAAATGGAAGGTTATCTTTTTAGAACGTTTTTATAATGCTACGAAAAAAAATAAAAAAATAATGACTGAATTTCTAACAAATTTTAATATAAACATTTGACTAAAAACGTATTCAAACAGGGTGGCTCAGAAAGACGTGATAATATTCCTAGCCTAGAAAGTATATCAAAAAACAACAAAAAAGCTTCTATCAAAAAAAAGTCGGAAAATGTCCCATTACCAAAATACGTAGGTGTAAATTCTGAGCCACCTATGAGACAAAATTTCATAGTTTATGTCCTTGATATAATCTCAGGAAACGAAGATTGTTATACGTATTGGCTATGTTATCAACGATAGATTTACAAAATTTTTAGTCAGAATTTTTAAGAAAATTTCTACCGCTAGTTTTAGCTTTGCGTCAAGTAGGTTTTGACGCAAGCAGCGTTCTCATCAGTTCGTTAAGGATTATGTTAGGCACAAGATAGGCCTTCTGAAAAAAAGTTAGCTACAGACATGCATAAGAAAAAAATAAATAACCTTCCTTCTCGACCCGAAAGAACTTCCTGCAGGCGCACATGATCTATGCGATGATCAATCGCAGTAGTGCGGAAGCGATTGTCAACTGTGACGTATGACGCTCGAACATTGAGGGACCACGTCGCATGCATTTACACGCGACTGTTGGAGTTAAAGTTTTAAAGGTAAATGTGCCTAATAAGTGCGTAGAATTTCTGGGGTTGGAGGCGTATAAATGTACCAAAATCTAAATTTGAGAGTCCCTGCGACCCCCACCCCCATTTTTTTTCCGAAAATGACTAGAAGTCAAGTCAAAGACCAAATATTCAGCGATTTTTTTTTTCGTTTTGGTCTCTCGCTCCGCCGCCACTGGACCGATTTTCAAAACCTACAAAGCTTTTTCGTCCTTGACAATGTACTGCTCTGACATTTTCTTCTGAACGATCGCTGCAAGCCCATCTCGTATGTTTCACTGTTTCACATCATTAACAGAACCAGTACTTTCAAATCTTTTTATTATTCTTTACTCAGTGAATAGGGTAGGAACATTATGCCGACCGAATATTAGCTGCACTTTTTGAATCGTGGCGATTAAACTTTCACCACCTTGGTAATAATTTTTAACAATTAGGATACGCTGTTATATTGTGTAATGATTCATTTTCATAAACTCCCGCCTGTCTACTATCGATCTGTCACAATCATTATGACATTATGACTGCCAAAATGGCGCTAAATTCACATATTGCGTTCTTATTGACACACCATTTACATGTCTTATAACATCCAAAAAACATAACATCTCAATATCGAAATTTTTCGCGTTTACAATACTTCCACGCCAGTAGGCGTGGGAAATAAAAAGGTAAACCGTCTCATTGACTTACCTGTGATTGTTCTTGATATGCAATTCTTCTAGCACTCTCCTGCAATGGTACCGTCCTGATATGCAACTTCTGTATTTCGTCGATAGTACCGATCGTCACGGACGTATCAGTGGCGAGAGCGAGACTGTCGGGGTACGCTTCAGCGTTCAAGCTGCACATGTGGTTCACCTCTTTCATGTTCACGTTTGAAAATACCAGCTTGTGATTAGATGAATAGATTACTGTCGGTCTATCAGAGCATGCGAAGACGTTTGTTGTACTCAGCGATCTGGAATATTGATTCGTTAATGGAACAGCCACCGCGCTGACAACAGAAAATATCAGTGGAATGTTTATTATGGTGCTTCTTAACAAGCAATATTTTTACCAGGCAGCAAAATCTTGCCGGAGATTGAAAATTGAAGAGAAGCAGAACCTTGCTTGGGCTCCATTCAGTTTTGAAAACCGAAGAGTGGAGCTTCATGAAGCCACGTTGCCTTACGACCAGCAGATGCTCGCACAAATACAATACGACTGCTCCAGCGATATCTGGCACTAATATGCACAAATGTTACTCTGTTTCGGAAAGCCCAATGAAAACTGACTAGACGAAGAAGCAGACAGGCATCATGCGGACGACTTCCAACCGCTGTGTTGTAAATGTTTGTAATAAATAAAATAGCTCTGTGATGTTAAGTATGTAAGATAAATAAATGATGATTGATTGATTGATTGACGTCATACGAATCTCTCATTCAATTACCGAATGGCAAAACGTCACTCGCCCATCTGTCAAATTCAAATTTCACCGCGAAATCAAACCATTCCCGCGCATTTTGTTAATGAATCGGCGTTGGTATTCTACTGTAATGTAAGAAATGTTAGCTGTTGCGACACTGACGATTTTGTCAGTCATTCTTGTAACTCTTTCGATGGCATATTGTCAAAGGTGTATGTGTTTTCACATTGCAGTCAATATTGCCATGATATGGTCGAGATATATAGCCCCGCCATATGTTGTAATATGGATGGGATAGTTGCCATAGTTATATCTAAATATTGACACAAAAATATTGCCCGTTTTGATCATCCAATGCTTTCGGTGGTAGACGCATTTAAAAAGTACAAACAATCAACAAAAGCGTTGACGATTCACTTACCTGAAGGTTCTCAATACTGTGGGTTGTGTACCTAAAGTAACCTTCTTTTTATCACTCAACGTTCCTGATTCTTTATTCAAGGTGAAGTAAAACATGGAACCATCACCGAGGGCACACAGTAGATAGTTATGCCCCTCGAAAGAGGCCATAAGAACTGATCTCGGTATTATTTCTAAACAAAAAAAAAACATTACGTTCACTCAAGATGAAAAATAGCAAAAATCAAATCAACCCTTGGTGGAATACATATTTGTAGTATACACATTATAACTTTTTTGAAATTGAATGGAAGTCCTTTTTATTTGTTGTGTTATGTGAATGTTGTTCGGCATTTGATGATGTTAATTTATTTAGACATATATTATTTTTTACTTTATAAATGAATATCATTATATTTGACTCAAATTTGAGCCATTTGCTAAGTATTTGTCTAATTGGAGCATACTTATTTCCATTCTGTATCATTCTCATGGACTTGTTTTGTAAGATTTGCAGCCTTTAAAAATGGAATTATTATATAAATTGAGAATAGTCGAACAGTACAACAAATTTTGACAAATGATAGTATTATAGATATTTTTCTACTATATGAACTCACATATCCAGACACTCTTGATAAATATCACACTTTACTTATAATGGAATTTATATTTTAATGAATATCAAAATTTAATTGAGTGTCAACAAAAACTCCAAGGTATTTAAAATGTTCTAAGAATCCAACATCTTCACCATCATAATTTAGTTGAACATTTGTATATTGTTTGTTTCCAATTACCATAGCTTTCATTGTATTCATATTTAATTTAAGCTTGTTAGGTGTTAGCCATTTTGAAACGAGTTGCAAGTGTTCATTTATATAAAAGATACCTGTTATGACAATTTTTGAAGCTATGAAAAGGCAAATTGAGGACTCCCTTGTTAAATCTACTAGCATGTGCATCACATGTCTTGAATCTATCAATTTTAAGTTGTTTATAATTATTCTGTTTATGCACCCAAACGTGCTAAATAAATATTTCTACTACTACTACTCGATTTTATAAATTACTCTTTGACTTCCAAACCCTGATTGATTAGCCAGAAACTACAAAAAATAAATTCTTACCTCCTCCTAATAATTCTTTTGTAGCCTCAGATAAATCTGGCAGCCTCAACAATCTCGCAGATATTTCAGTCCACAATCCTACTGCTACTAATTCAGAGGTTGTGTTGCCTTCCCCCAAAGGACTGATGTCTAGACATGCCACTTCTACGTCCAGCGTGGTATTACTATATAACAATAAATATTCAGAGATTGCCCGATTCTAATTATACCGAATTCATTGTACATTTTAAAATCTAGAACAAAACGTACTTACCCTTTCAAAATAAGTTCGTTAGGTTGTATCTCCAGATAATAAACTGCACATCCTGTAGCCAGAACAAGCTGATTTGTATTACATGCCACAACACTGATGGATTTGTCATTCGGTGGCTTCCATTCTGCTACCAAGGTTTTATTTTGGATTGACACAAGTCTGGCGGAAACTGACGTCACCTGGAGAAAATCACAAATAAACATTAAAAACTGTGGGATAAAAACGAAACACATTGCAAACTGGTATTCGCCTAGGAAATTGTTCTACTAATTACTCACAAAAGTGGCTGTTGACACATCTCGAATAACACAGGCTGACAAAGGTAAGTCGACCCTCTTACCCAGAAACCAAAGTACACTTTCCCAAAGGTTTATGGTGTGCTGAATCCGAATCCGTGACCCAGATCCCTCAATTGACTAGTTTCAGAGAGAAAGTACTGGAGTCGCGAAAAAATTCAGACTCCATCTGTCCGCTAATCCTTGCCCCGTCTATAACTTGAAGTACTGCTCGGATTTTTATAGAATTTTCACACAAGGTTACTACTATGCCAATGACGACAGAGCCTTCCGTCCAGTGGGAGGCAAAAACAGAAAAATCGGTTAACCTTCATTTTTTGACAATTCAGCGGCTCCTGCTCATTTTCGAAAAGAAATTTGTTCGGTTGAAAATCGGAGATTGTTCATGTTACGCCTTTAGTATCACCAAGAAGCATCTGATCCCGGTAACAACGGGAAAATTTAATGATAAAAGGCCTATTTATAATATGCACATGATTCGAAAGAACTCTGCTAATAACCATAGAACTTGATGCCGTTAATATAAAAAAAATCGAAATAACTTGCAATCGTTGGTGATGCGTACAAGACGCGATGCTGCAACGCTCTATCGTCGTGGAGGCCACTACCGATTGTGGCAAGCGCAATGGGTAACTAACTCCAAGTGGTGTACTGGTGAACTGCGGCGATGTCGACACCGACATTTCGCTACAAGGGAATATTTATATATTTTAGGAATATTTGAGTATTAGGAGTACGTACCACTTTAGCGTACTGCAATGCTTTTATAAATGATGACAACTGTTGTTATATCTACACATACATTTTTCTGAATTTTATGATCCTTAAATGTACCCACCCATTTCGCCTAACCTTTAATTTGTCTTACTCAGTATATGATGGTTCTCTAAATATTTCGTCAACTAGATTGACTTAGTACCTGTCACGCATTGATATGCAACAGACATGGACTGACAAACGAACATAAATGAGAAACACGAATCTGTATGATGCAGATATATTTAAGTAACATAAGACTGGTTAACTAAAGTTCTATTTATCGCAAGTTTAATCCTTCTATCGTTTAGATAGTCGTAGATTGATAATATACCCAAACCACAAGCCACCCTAGCCTACCAAGGCAGAGTTTCACGTCCTTATTTTCGATTGCGTACTTTTTTTAAAAATAATAAATGACTTTCGTCTGCTAAAAGATGAACCGATCCAGATCAGAAATTTTCAAATTGCCATATCTCAGTGAAAGAAAAATATATTTAAGGAAACAACGCCATTTGTAACGTCTTGCACTTTGAGATGATGTCTAAGTTTTTTGATAAAAAATTATCCTCCATGCTAGATTATCTCACTTATAGACAAATATCGCAATATTTGTTCTTTTAGGTAAGAATATCTTTGAAACTAGAGCCAATTGAGACCACGGATTGGGATTCATTCAGCACATCAAAAACTTAGGGGAAGTGTAATCTGGTTTCTTGGAAAAACATCTTGTGGGTTCTTGTAATTTTTATCATAAAACTACCACGTATACTAGAACTGTTATATTTTTTAGTTACCTGTATAATTTGATCGTGTGCGACGTTTCCACAATAAAATGTCTGTTGATCTGAAGCGAATCCTCCGACGTCAGTTTCTTCTACTTCTTCACCATTTAGGCTCAAAACTCTAGTTTGGCCGACAAAAGACAGAACTAGTGTATTGTCTAGTTTATTTCCTACAAATCGCCAACAATTATGAAGTAAATCTATATATCTAAAGGCTGCCCCAATAGATATTTCGGGGTTTTCTCAAGTTCAGAGATAGCTTGAAAAATAGTTTGTACGTTTTAGGTCCCGATCGCCCACGGATTGTTTAAATGAACATTATCCTTGACGAATTTCCACAAAACATGCCAAGCGATGTTACAGTCACCATCACGAGAAATCACGCGGCCATCAGGAAAACGTGTTTGTGGCAATTTCAAAGATTCCTTTGCAGTACGACATATCGCCCAAAAGTGTTGAAATAATATACAGAAGTCCTGAAAGTTGAGACTGTCCTTTACAGAGCGTATAGGTCAGGCAATAATAAGCAAGTTTTCCTAGAAACACATATACCAAAGCCTTAAGATATGTTAAGGGTATGACGTTTTGTGGTACTATAACTAGGTGAGTCTATATCCAAATCCGCTGCCACGCGGTTTGTAGGTTAACCTAGTTTATCCGAAAACCGCATTTGGAAACCGATATTGGCACATTCCTACAGAAATAACGTATACTAAGTGACATATAAATCCGAACACCCAGTTTAAATGGTTTTATTTTAATAAAATTTTGTATAAGTACTTAATGAAGCATAATAAGTAAATGATAAAAATTTCAAAATGATTGCACTGCTTTAAAGCCCTTTGACCTTTAATAATGTGTGGATGCACCCTGATGTGCTACGCATTCTCCAACGCGCCTAGGCATGCTTCTGATCAGGTGGTCAATGTCCTCCTGTGGTATCTCATTCCAGGCAACCACCAACTCCTCTCGAAGTGCTTCTAGAGTCTGAGGAGGACGTTGCAAATTGAGCAATCTCCTACCCATCATATCCCACACGTGCTCAATTGGGGATAAGTCGGGAGATCTTGGTGGCCATGGTAACAATGTGACATCATTATGTTGGAAAGTTGGATCTGCCAGGGTGTCAAGATAGCGCAAAAGATGGGGTTCTAGAACTTCGTGGATATAACGCTGCGCGTTCATGTTACCTCTGATGAAGATTAAAGGTGACCTGGAACCATAAGCTATAGCACCCCAAACGATAACTCCAACTGTGTGATGAACATGTCTTTCAACAAAAAACTGTGGATTCCTTTCACCACGTCGCCTTCTAACCCTGGCACGATAATCGTGCATGCCTAAACAAAATCGAGACTCGTCACTAAAGACAATACTGTTCCATTCCTGATCCCAGAGTGACCGTTGTCTGCACCACTCAAGGCGATTACGTCGGTGTTCTCGAGTTAAAGGGAGGACCCAGTGTGGCCGTTATGAAAACAAGCCAAAACTTCTCATTCGTCAGTAAACACTTCGCATGCCAATAGGTCTTCCGTGTTCTGCAAACCATTCATTTGCAATGGACCTGGTAGTGGAGAAACGGTCCCTTAAGGCCAATAATCTTAGGCGGCGATCTTCACGGTCTGTTGTTCTACGGCGGCGTCCAGTGCCCCTTGCTCTTTGCGTACGGCCTTCTCGAAGCCATGCCTGACAACACCTAACCACAGTGTCTACACTTCTTTGCACTCTAACTGCAATTGCCCGAAAAGAAAGTCCAGCTTCCCGAAGTCCCACTATACGGCCCCTATCAAACTCACTAAGTTGACGAAATCGTACAGGTCTCCGTACTCTAGGCATCGTAACCGATCGTAAAGGATGTCAAGAACCAAAATCCGCCAACGTTGATTCTTTACTGCGGCTGAAATATTCATTTTTAGAGCGTTAGTGAATTAAAAAAAAGCAGTATAAAAACCGGAATGTCCAACTGATAAGGCTGAAAATTTTTTCACTTGTTATTTAAAGTAAGATAAATACATTCACCAACTTTTATTAAAATAAAACCATTTAAACTGGGTGTTCGGATTTATATGTCACTTAGTATAGTTACTGGTTTGATGTCAGTTTACTCAAGATCCTATTGATACTCCGCGAGTGTATTCGAGTACTCAGAACATCGTCGTCATCCTCGACGTCTCCATCAGAGAAAAGAGAAGAATACCTAGACAGCCCCAGCCCGCAGGTATAGGGAGATGTAAACAAACTCGTGTTCCCGAATCGAATAGCGACAACTTGGGCAGTAATTACAAACAACACATGTGACAGGGCAGTACTTGGAATGCCGTTCCAAATAAATAGTGAGTATTTTTTTTAAACGCAAATTAATTTTGTTATTTCAAATGTAGTTGTTTCTGAAAATGAGAGCCCAACTTTCAGGACACTATGTATCGTTAACCATGGGTGCCCATTGGAGGGGGCAAGGAGGCATATGCCCCCCTGGCTCCTGCCTCAAAGTGAAATATTCTTAAGATACCCAATAGTTGGGTAAGAAGTGGCGTCTTCAAAACATCCCAACATAGAAGATAATATTTCTGCTACCATTTTGAATAGTTAGCAACTGTGCCCTTCCCCTAGGGTATAAATAAGACTCGTTCAACGTAGCGTCAGATTGTCGGCCATACCGCGGTATTAAGGGGATGATGCGCACGATTCAATTATGCGTTTTGTATATGAATGCTGATTGCTGCGTTGTTACAAAAAATCGTGCATAATGCCACTTATTATTATGGTTGACTTGAAAAAATCGTACGTAAAATTAAATAATGCTAGTCGAATAGTCGTAGCATTATATCTACCACCCAAAAATGCATATTGAATGACATTTATAAAAAAAGCTTATAAATATTTGGTATTGTCTTTGCAGGTATCCGCTCCATAAATTTTTCCGACAATAGCAGCTCTCTCGATTTTACACATTTTTCTTGATCTATTCTTCAAAACCCCAACTGTGAGGTAATTATTTTCATGAGGTAATCACTTGTTATATTGGAACAGGTATGACGTCATAAAGTCAATTACCTCACAGTTGGGATTTTGAAAAATAGATCAAGAAAAATGTGTAAAATCGACGGGTTGGCTAGTTCTCAGCATTTTTGATCCTGCACAACGTGTAAACCAAACATGCTCCCCCCTGGATTTTGCTATATGGGCGCCCATGTCGTTAACGTACATATTCAACTGAGGAGGCGGTTAGCCCATATTTGTCGTAGCGTTCGCCACGAACATTCACTGTTCCTTCATCGTAATTTTCAAGAAAAAATGAGAGGGATCTTCAATACTTCGTTTGCACAATTCTAATGCTTTCAGGGGGGTGGGTGGCCCAATGGTTAGCGCGTCGAGCTACTGGTCGGTCGACCCGAAGGTTTGCGGGTTCGAATTTCTGCCTCGAATGCTCTGCTGTGCATTGTCGATGTCACACACCAGATCAATGTAAAATCAACAACCAATTACCAGTCGGCAAATAGGACCAAAAGTGGCATAGTTGCCAGGCTCCCCACCAGTACCGAACTCCCGGCTTCTCGAACACACACTATCAGACATGGTGCCAAATTTAAATTACAAAGAATCTATTGGGACATCCTATGCCTAGAAGAAAAAAATCATGCAGTCGTATCAGTTTGCTGCACTATGTTAGGCATTCTTTCCTTTAGTTATTATGAAACTACATTTCAACATTTTTCATTTTACTTACCGTATGCGGCTCTTAAGGCCCACATGCCTTTGATGCCAGGCAAATCAATGCTAGCATGCTCTTGAATACCAATACCATTCCTTATGATTCTCAAAGATCCTTCTTTAAATGCCCCTGAACACGTGACGAGTTGCCCTTGACCCTTGAGAAATAAATACATCAAAATCACATAGCAAAGACCAAAAAAATCAATGTTTCTCTTTTACCTGTCTTTCTAGATCTACCACACACATATCTAAAATAGGAGCCAAATTGGTGAAAGATTCCATTACAGTCACATAAGAACCGCTTTCATCTGCTTTGGTGTTAAGTTTCACCAACTGAGAATCACCAATTCGAGACCCGATGAACAGCACACCATTGTCTAGGTAGGTGATACATTCTGGAGTTGCAATTTCACCTAGAAAAAAATCGAGTAGATTAGCTAGGTATATGGAATGGCTTAATTTGTATACCATTTAAAATTTGATATCACTCACCTAAAAGTTCAACTTTAAGATCTTTCACTACATCATTTCCATCACCTCTGGCCTCAGTTTCTATAAATAGCATGAACAAATGTCCAGCCATATCACCAAGTAAATATCTCAGGCCACCTGGATCTACTTTTGCATAACATATGATGGTACTTTGCTAGAACAATATCAAGATCAACCCCAAATTCAGTTTTTACCTTTTGTTACATACTCCTATGATGAAGCTGTATAGCATTACTCGCAACATGATGTCTTTAAAGTTGGGACTTTCTTTTACACAGAATTATAGTTCTTGTGAAATAAAGGTCTTTTTCCTAGTCTCAAGATAACGGCGGTATTATCGAACAAATATTTTACATAAAATCCAACCCTGCATCCAGACAAGAGTTAAGTGCACACGTACGTAAGCAGAGCTGCTTGTTTATGAATTGCATTTGAAAAAATGGCGTCAGGTAGGTTGACTCTGCACTTCATATGCGACACGGTCATCAGTTCATAAAAAATTAAGTTCAGCAGAAGTTAAGCTAACTGAGAAAAATAGTTATCAACATGTACAATAGAAAAATTAAACCGACCAAGTCAGTCAAACAGGCCCATACATTCTTTTCCTGTCCCTGCTCGGTAGTTACCGTCCATCTGGCAACGTTGCCCCTTCCCATACCGTCAGACGCGGCAGTGCCCAACGAAGCACCGCTGCAGTACGAGCAGAACAATTACGCGGGACGCTGAGCCCAGGCCCAGATAGCAGGGGAGACGCATATAGAAAATATTTCTCTAGAATTAAAGTTTAAACGACAATTGTATGGGGAAACATATGAGTGAAATATGCCTAATAGGTACGTAGAATTATCGGAGCTAATACAAAAAAAATGATATACATCCTCCCTCACCCCCTAATTATTAACCCCTGATTTTTTTCAAAAATCCTCTGAAACGATAAAAACGAAGTTTCGTCAATTTTATTTTATTTTTTTTTCGTTTCTGACCTTTTTCTCCTCCGCCACAGTATCGACCTTCAAAAACTAGGGCCCAGCGCTAAGGATGAACGTTTCTCCTTATCTTTGGATAGAGCAAACCTAAGGTTGCTGGTGGGGCTATTGTCTGGCCATAAGACATTAAGACGCCACCTGCACGTGATTGAGGTGGCTGAGGATCGCTTGTGTGAGCGTTGCGGGGTAGAGGAAGAGACCTCGGCGCACGTTCTGTGTCGCTGTGAAGCTCTGAGCTACTACAGGCAAACTATACTGGAGTCCATTACTTTTAACCCCCAGGACGTCAAGGAGCTTGGGCTCAACGCCATACTTAACTTCGCTAGAAAGGCCAGGCTTGAGGTCTAAAGAGGTGCTGGTGGCCGGAATGCCTCCAATTTCACGATTCATTCATTCCATCCCGCGCCAGGTACGTTAGTTTATTTCGTACAAAATTAGATTGTAGAAACGGAAAGGCGGGCATAGTAAAAGATATAGACAGCCCCGAATATTGAAACTTGAGGAAGAAGTTAACAGAATTATGTTTGTAAATGTTTTGTGGTTTGAAAAGAGCACTTTAAATAAGATCAGATCTTTTTATCAATAAGTGTTTAATTTTACATTATCTAATTTTTTGTGCCACAAGATTCTATTGAGGAAGATCACACCCCAAAAAAATCTCGGAATTTCAAAATCAATAACTTCCAAGTCTTTTTATTGAACCAATATAGTGACAAGCAAGCTGTCTCAATATTTCCAATATCAAGTATTCCGCCATTGCTCCTGTTTGACAATTTTTCGCATCCTTCTGAAATCGCAAATTAAATTAGAATTATTCATATGCTGTATGATTAATATGTATTTACTGTCGTTTCTTTGCCTTATTTGAATTAGTCGTTTATTGACAAAAACTGAATAATTCACACCGCAGTACAGATAGTATTTCTGCTATGCTACATATAAGTACATCCAGTAAGTCAATATTCCGGTTTGTCACTTTGCGAGGTATGTCTACTCACGAGTATGTCATTTTGGCAGCAAATAGTCCCAACTTTTGTGACACCCTGTAAGTTGCTCATCAAGTTAAACCTACCTTGATGACAGGAGGAGCCACGACAACTGAAACGAGTCCATCATGATACAAAATGCTCTCTTGTCCAATAATAATAGCACCTCCTAGAGGTGACGGAACAGGGATGATTATAGATGCTTCTGTTTCAACATTGTCTTGCCTCCATGGAATTTTAACAAACTCCTTTTCTCTTAAAGAAATCTCATGGGTTTTAACGTGTCGGCCATTGACATCTTGGTGGATCAGAATTAAGGTTGGATTAGCACATCCATGTAAGAATTCCACATCATGGACTTGAAGTTCATCCATTCTTAAAAAGATGGAAAATAAGGAATATTTGAATGGTAGCATTTGTTAACATATACCACCACAAGATACCCAATTCAAGAGAATGCTAAGCCTGCTTACAACATTATTTTTTTTAATTCAAATATAATTACAATTTAATATTGTCACCCTCAAAATAATTTCCTTCTGAAGCCAGGCCGCGCTGGAGACGGTTTTTCGACTCCTCATAGCAGTGCTGGAACTCTGATACTGAAATAGCCTTCAGCTGGTCAGTTACAGCAATTTGAATGTTCTTGACTGTCCCAAAATGAGTTCCCTTGAGGAGCCACAGAAATGTTTTTACTGGCCAGAAACTCGTTTATTGATATTGCTGTGTGACAAAGAGCATTATCGTGATGCAACACCCAGTTGTTCTTGTTGATTGGTCTCACATGAATGACCCCCTTTCGAAGTTGTTCCCGGTAGAAGGGTTGACTGACCGTTTGGGCTTGAGGTACAAACTCTTTGAAGACGATTCCGTGCATACCGAAAAAAAAAATCAGCATGCATTTGATCTTCGACTTCATCTTTATCGCTTCTTTGGGCCTTGGAGCGGTTGAAGTGTGCCTATTCCGTGTTCTGGTGCTTGGTTTCTGGGTCGTACTCAAACACCCAAGACTCGTCACCAGTTCCAGAAAATGGGGGTCATTTTCAATCGAATCCAAAAAGTCAAGGCACCTTTCCTTCCTGATGTCTTTTTGTCTTGTAAAAGGTTTTTTGGAACCAATTTTGCACAGATTTTTCTCCTTCTCAATTCAGTGGTCAAAATCTGATGTACAGCAATGTGAGTCAAATTTAACTCTTCCCCAATCATTCTGACTGTCAACCAATGGTCTGAATGAACAAAAGTCCAGAATCTGTCAATATTCTCATTGGTTCTTGAAGGTGAAGGCCTTCCATTTTGTGGTTCATCCTCAACTTCTGAAAATGCCTTATACCACCAAAACCTCTGGGTTCTTGACAAAACACTATCTCCTTAGGCCTGCTGAAGTCTGGCAAGAGTTTCCATTGCACTGTGCCCAAGTCTGAAGCAAAACCTGATAGCACGTGTGGTTCAAAATTGATGTCACCCATTATACAAAAAAAGCTGTTTTAAAAAAATTGCTACAGACAACCAAATGAACTAGAGCGAGTTCAAACTTGTACCGAAGGCGGAGCACATGTTCCCCCGTCTCTCCTCCAAGCCCGGCGCCTCCAGTGTTGCCAGGTCAAATGCTACATTGCCTCTTATTACTTAATTTACAGACCTCCTATGATTAATAACAAAATTGACCATTTTTGTCCTGAGCAAGTTGAAATAATCATTGGCATTAGCAATAAATATTTTTGGACTATCAGAAATTCATTTGATATATTCAAGTGCAAGATGAAAACTAATTCCTACCTGAAATTGGTCGCCTTAAGCTCATAGTTCTCTTTATCCAAAGGAATAATCTTGAACAATCCATCATAGAGTCTCAAGCCTATGACCCTTGCTTTTGGATCAATAACTGCCAGTATCCCTGTTTCAGATGGTTTTCCAATTCTGTCAGCTACATTTCCATGGGCTTTTGTGATGATGTCTATGTTGTCACCATCACTGACACATTCTAGTATCATGGCATTGTACCGCATTGTTACCAAGAACAGCAGATCTTTTTTCTCTTGCTAGTAACCAAGAATTATACGGTTATTGGTGCTGGCATGGTAATGGGAAATTCATTTGGAAGTACTTTTTTTTTTTTAAAAATATATAAGTACATAAAACAATGTTATAGATTTTTTCTCAGAAGTATGGTACAGGACTACAGTCCATTTGCCACATAGTAGACTTTGATCCTAAATTAGAAATTTTACATTATTTAAATGCTATTGCAGGGAGTGTATACCTCCACGTTATCTTTTGCTAACACAGTACTAATGTTTAAAGATAACTGAAAACCATGGTATTAAGCTTGCTGATCAAGTGTTCTTTTTAAAGGAAATAGTATACTGTATTTGACGCGTATCCATCACAGTACCATGACAGCTGATTATCTGGTAATATTTCAAAATTCCCCATATCAGCAAAGGACATATAATTCTAACGGATCTGTCAATGCCAGGTGGATAGAGCCATATTTTGTTTTGATTTATTGTAAGCTACACTTTTATATTGTACTTGCTAAAAACTCTCTTATTCAGAAAAGTTCATTTGAATACAAAAAACAAAATGCTACAAACTGATTTTTGCTAGATTTACACTCAATTCATTATAGCCAATATTGCAGTCTAACACAAAAATATCACTTGCTGATTAGCTGCTCACCTCAGTAGACTTCAAAGTGTGGATACTTGTGAAATAAGGTATATTTACTTCAATCAAAAAAATATATGGTTAAGGTTGAATATAGCATTGTCATCAGAGCAATGAGGAGAGTCATATATCCTGATTTTTATGCAAGTGTGAAGGAAATTGACCATGATTCAGTCTCAAGCAAAAAATGTTTGGTATGCATTTTTTACTTAAATTATACCTATATTGAAGGAGTTCTTTTGGCAATGTTTAATTTATTAGGTAGTAATGGTTAGATTTATAATAATGGACATCTGTCCATTGGTGCTTCCAATCTGACATCAGTTTGCATTTTAAAAGGCCTATGTCACCACTGAACTGTTCTAAGGTCATCTTTATTGTTGAAGGAAAGAGGCATTATAAACATTTGGTTTTTAAGATTATTGTACAACAGATTAAGGTGAACCACACCAATAAATTTTGGTGTCAGATAAGCATAAATGTCAGGAAATGATTTTCTTAGTTGTATTTATACCTGAGGTCTAAACAGCTTCATAACAGCAACTTTACCATATAGACCAACTTCTTTAATTGGTCTTAGGCCTTCTGGAGTGACAAGATATATTTCTAATCTTGTGTTTTTCGCTACAATCAGATTCAGATCTGATGGTGAGGTGAAGTTCCCTAGAAAAAACAAGCAACAATAAATAAACGTGTTTAGATTTAGTTATTATCCAATTTCATACAATCAATACGGTTTGTGTGCCTGAAGCATTGCAAGCAACTGTGTAAACTTTCTTTGATAGTTGCAACCTGCAGAGGGTCCCACAGCTATCAGATGCCAATGGAGACAATTCAGCTTTTGTGGGCATAGTTGATACACGGTATAATACTGTAGCATTTCGGTCAAATTTGATTATGAAAACTCGCAATAAAGGAGTTTCTCCAAATAATAACAAGAATATAAATAGCTTTAGAAATATGTGAGGTTATGTGTACATATCACTGTAGAAATACCTGTAACACATGATGTGACTGCCGTAGGCTTGTGAGCGGTGACGATGTAGTGATACGCCATCCTGAATCACTACTTTCACTGTTTTTCCGATTTACTAACAGGAAAAGTCTCATAAATAAATTATGCACATCCGGCACATCAACAGCTGTCAAATATCAAAATGTCAAGCTCCTTGACACACGAAACATCAATTTACGAGAAATGTCTTTCCCCATTCCTCAAAAATTTCCCTTTTGTCAGTGGCGTGCGCTATTCTCATTGTAGCAGGTAGCTGGTTCGTACATATTCAACGTGAGCAACCATCCGTGACTCCCGCACACAGGGAGCCCAAGAGCAGAGAAACCTGTATTTTAAGAATCATGGCACTCCTCCCGCTCTCTTGTTGCAAAGTACCAAGCAGCTGTCGTTGGCTCTACCCCTCATCAAGTGTTCCAAAATTCTCTGCGCCTCGAAGACAGTGGCCCCCTAGATGTCTGACACTTGCTTTTGTAATCTAACACCATTGTGTTATTTTCTGGCACATCATGGCGACAGAGGCATACTAACTATAAGTTATAGCTATAGGAAGTGAGCATTGCGATTTTTGGTATCCTTTGGTATTCCAAACGCTGTCCCTCTTCGACATCACTTAATTTTACAGCACAATTCTTACGATTTATACGTATATACGAGTATTTGTGACTTGTGACAAATCTAAGTCTAAGCAGTATATTAGCTATACAAATTGCACTTAAAAAGTGATTTATGTTCTGTTTGTTGCTCGATAGTAATTTTAAAAGTGTGTAAAGCTTGACTGATTTTGTTCGGGGTTCGTGTTGCAGCGAAGCTCTAGTAGTCTAATCATATTAGACGAAGGTACCTGGTTTGCGAAATAATTCTAAAGTCTGGTTTTATTGCTGCAAGTTGCTCAAAGGGGTATTCAAAACCAAACCACCAATTTTTGTGGGAAAACTTTGTATTCGACAACAAAGAATGAGAAAATGTGTTTTTTGGGATTCAATCTAAATAATTGGCAGTGACGAAAAAACTCTCCTTATAAGATTTTTATGTATTTATGGGACCTACGAAATGAGACCACACGTAGAAAGATCCGACAAATAGCAAAAAAGTTAACGCCGAAAACCGCGGCAAACTGGAGGTCTTGGCACGTGTTGGTAATGCGACGACGGTTTCTCGCAGATATTTGAAATCGTTCAAATTCGTGGGATTGGTAATTCTCAATAACCACAACGAAATTGGAGTAGATTGGTCAAGAAGTTTGTGAGAATTTCTAATTGTTTATCCCAAGACATCTGTTTTCCGGCCATCACTACTAGTTTTTTTGAGCAATATACATGGGTTAGTTCAAAAGGCATTTTGTAGCAAAATACACTAGTTCACCTTGCCGATATGAATCGAAAACTATTCTGGAAAATAAATATTATTTTTATGCAAAAAAGGATGGGTTACGTTTTTCTTCTAAACAAATTCAAACATTTCGTATTTGTGAGTAACTCGCAACAAAAGATGAATAGTCACATCCGCTTTGTTTTAAAACTTGTATAGTAACGTAAGCATTTCGAATATCGTAGCGCATTTGCTCAATTACTCAGAAATACGAAATGTTTGAATTTGCTTTGAAGAAAAAAACGTAACCTTTGTTTTTCGCATAAAAATAACATTTATCTTTCGGAATGGTTTGTAATTCATATCGGCAAGGTAAATTAGTGCATTTTGCTGTGAAATGCGGTTTGAACTAATCCTGTAACGTACATAGCTCAATAAACTAGTAGTGATGACCGGAAAACAGGTGTTTTGGGATAAACAATTAGAAACTCTCAAAAAACTACTTGACGATTATACTCCAAATTTGCTGCTGTTATTCAGAAGTATGAAACCTGGGGATTTGAAAAATTTCAAGTAGTTGCGTAAAATTATCTTCGCATTACCAACAAGTGCCAAAACCTGCATTTTGCTTGGTTTTTCAGCAATAACATTTTTGCTATTAGTCGAATCTTTCCACGTGTGGTCTCATTCTGTAGGTCTCATAAATACCTAAAAATCTCACATAAAAAGTTTTTTCGTTCCTGTTACCACTTTCGATTGAATCCCAAAAAACACGTTTTCTCATTCTTTGTTGTCAAATAAAAAGTTTTCCACAAAAATTGGTGTAACCATTTTATGCGTCCATGTTTAAAATGCGCCCTTGAACAACTTGCACCAATAAAACCGGACTTTGCAATTATTTCGGAGAAATTTGCTAATATGATTAGACTATATGTTAGATGAACGCCTAGATTGGAAATATACATTTATGAGATTTGCTTAGCGGTGCGTCTGTGACCTGTTCAGAAAATGCGTCGATCGATGCTCAAAGTATTGGAATTTGTTTAAGTCACAGAGCTTCTGAACTACACGTGAATATGTACAGCTCTGTATTCCTGTTCTTGTTTCGTACAAACATACTTTATCAAAATAATTACGATCTAACAGATATATTTTTTCCAAAGATTACCAACATTTTTACATGCAATCAACACCGATTCGAAAACTGAGAAAACAACAACTATGCCGTAAATCTAAGTTCGACAACCAAAGTCTGAAGAATAACTGTAACATCTATATTGAATTTCAAAAAATAATTGACTATACCTATTGATATTTTTATCACCTGCTGCTATAATAGAAGTGCTTGATTGTATCAGTATTTACACCAATTACTTGATTTGTTTAACGGGTAGTTCAGAGTATTAATCCTTAAGCTACACTAGTAGACCCCGTTGCGCAATTTGTCTATAGGCAATCTGAAGACGGTCTCAAGACACGATGGTCGATAGACATCCTTCTTTGTCTCGTCTAGCGTCCATACGATAATATGAATTTTTCGGTCTCATGTTCGTTTTCGCCATCAAAGACATTGCTTTGTGTGGAATGGCTGGGATATGTCTCGAGGTCCCTCAAAATGTCTTTTTTTAGTTAACAGAGCAATGCAGTTTTTTATGTTTTAATCTTTAATATTATTACACTAGTTATTTATAAATGCCACCTAATTCTTTTGTTCTCATATAATAAGATATTGCCTTTCTGAGGATTTCTGAGCATGTTCCATATTTTTTTTCAAAGTTGGCATTGAAAAGATAGAACACAATGGATTTAAGGAGCAATAATAGGATAAATTCTAGAAGTTCCACTAAGGTAGAAAAATTACCAGCCCCAAATATCGTTTGCGCACCCACTCCCCCCCTAGATGAAATCCTGAATCCGCCCTTGCTCGAAGATCACTCTGGGGGCTTGTTCAACGCATTCTTAATTACAGAGATACTCTGCTGAGTACCTTTAAAAAATAGCAAGCTTGAAAATATACTAGCCGGATGTGGGTGGATCGATTAATCTACCGTTCACTACGGAGCGGAGATGGGAAGAATCTCAAATCACAAGAAGAATATTTTTTTCTGGTCGATCTGCATTTTCTCATCATAATATGAATTGACTATGGGCAAATTAGTTGTTCACTTATCGAAAAATTGCAGTTAAATATGGAATAGAAAATGCTTTTTCTTATAATATCTGTTCAGGGTGTCCGCAAAGTTGAGGTTTACCTCTACACGACGTGTAGATTTTGAGAAAATAAGCGGATTTTCTTAGTAGCATATACACCAATGTCTTCAGACAATCGAGATATTGAGCTCCGCAAACCCAATCAAACCTAAACCAAATCGAGGCCGGTTCTGTCCTATCCCTCGATCACGTCCACAGTGCCAGCGTCAGCGTACAGTTATACGACATACGACTACAATGTAAATACGGATTTTACGACAGAGCCGTACTTGGAATCTCAATTCAACCGAACAGTGAGTACTTTTTCATTTATTTTTGTTTCACTTGTTCACGTTTCACCACACAGCTTTGTTATATCAAGCGTATTTGTGTCTGAAAAGGAAAACCCTAACTTTGCGGACATCATGTATACAGCATTGCGGTGCAAAAATTCGATTTCGATTATGCCAAGTCTAGGCTGAATGAATGGACACACTTACGAATGAGCACACAATTCGAATATAAACCATGAGCCTCTTTTTGGAACCACTTAAAATGACATTTTGTCGTTTTTCTTTAGATTTTATAGGTTTTTTGTGACATAACGTAGGTTTTTCTACAAGATGTCAACTCGGAATCTATACTGCAAGATGACAGTTTTTCGGTTTTTATTGACGTTTTTTTAGGTTTTTTACATAATGCCCCAGCCTACCCATTTCAGAATTACATAGGATTCGGAATCTAAGGACCCTACGTATCCAGGAAGTGGGTTTTCATCCATATCTTCGCACGGCTTAGCAGCATTTGCCAGAAAGAATAAATCTTTCTTCAGCTGATTTTACTTCCTGAGCCTCCGGTTGGGGAAGTATTGTTAATCACGAAAAAACCAAAAGCTTTGTAGTCTTGAAAATCGATCCAGTGACGGTGGAGCTAAGGGCAAAAAAATAAAAAATAAAAATTGCTCAAACTCCTTCTCTTAGCGTTTAAAGGTTCCTGATCATTTTCAGAAAAAGATATTGTAGGGGATAAAAATTAGGGGTTGGGGATTGTAGAGCATTTTGGTATAAGTATATTTATACCCTTCCAGCCCCGGTAATTCTACATACTTATATATCCATATTTCAGACAAATTTTCAAGTATTTGCTCTTAAGTCTTCGAGTAGAATGATTTCGAATTTCAATACCCGCGTCGAAAAAAAGTGTAATCTGCTGCGGCTGTGCCGGCCAGTGACAGGGCGACAGTTTGTCTAGGTCGTATCCTCATCGTAAATGTCTGGAATCTGTGAGGTCGAATGTGTATATGGGCCTATTTGACTGACTGGATCTATTAAGCTAGAAATACATAGCTTTAGTTCATCCGATCACAGACGGCCAACCATGGATAACTGTTTCTTGCTATTTAGCAGTTCCTCGGCTTGGTCTAGGCTTTGGTATCAGGTAGAACAACGAACGAAAGCTGGGCAATTACCCTCTAACCAGAGTATAAGGTCTATCGAAATAAGATAGCACAAAGTGTCATCTATTACCAGAATCGGCCACACTAATATACTGAAAAACAGCAAGCTGCCTGTTGGAACTGTATCCCAGTTCGCATTGTCAGCCGGATCACTACTCTGTGGCCGCTAGAAGCCGCCGATTCTGCTGCTATAGTAAATAGGGTCTGTTTTGCCACTGATCAAGCTAGTAAAATAGCTTTCGTTCGTCCGGCCAACCTTGAACAGCTGTGTGGTGCTAGTCTAAG